AAACAAAGCAGAGAATTCAAATATTTGGGCAGCATTTTCACAGAAAATGGAAAATTAGATCGAGAGATAGAGACTAGATGCCAGAGAGCCAACGCAGTCAGCTACCAACTGGGCCCTCTCCTGAAACATCCCAATATCCCCATGAGCACCAAGGCGAAGCTCATCAACGCCATTTTCCTTCCAACGCTCACATATCAGTGCCAGACATGGACTCTAACAAAAGCCCTAGAGAGGAAACTGGTCACATGCGAGATGAAATGCTTAAGAAGAGCGGTCAACAAAACAAGAAGAGACAAAATTAAAAATGAAGTCATAAGGGACACCGTGGGAGCAACACCAGTCCTACCACACATTGAAAAACAAAAGGTCAAGTGGTTCGGACACCTCACGCAGATGCCCTCAAACCATCCAGCTCTGAGAGCATACAACATTAAATATTCTGGATGGAGAGCCAGAGGAAGACCAAGGCGACGATGGAGTGAATCTGTGGCAGACACCCTTAAAGATCATGGGATGTCCCTCCTACAGGCCACACGACTTGCTGCAGACAGACACCTGTGTCTCCCCGCGACACCCCAGGGTACAAGCGGAAGAAAAAAGTAAAAAAAGTAAAAGTAAGAAGGTATACACTCTTTTGTTAACCACACTTTTATCCCCTGACACTCGTGTTCTTAGTACCAGACTCACTTACTTTATAGTCCTTATATATTCATAACAATCAGTCAAGAGTTACTAATCGAAGCGCTGATTATTTTCATCCTCAAAAAAGCAAAGTGGTTTTCTTTTCTGCTCTACGATCCAGCTGTGTTCCCCGGTCAAAGAAGACGATAGAATTGTTCCTCGGTCAGAGAAGACGATAGAATAATTGTTCCTCGGTCAAAGAAGACGATAGAATTGTTCCTCGGTCAAAGAAGACGATAGAATTGTTCCTCGAGAATTGTTCCTCAGTCAAAGAAGACGATAGAATTGTTCCTCAGTCAAAGAAGACGATAGAATTGTTCCTCAATCAAAGAAGACGATAGAATTGTTCCTCAGTCAAAGAAGACGATAGAATTGTTCCTCAGTCAAAGAAGACGATAGAATTGTTCCTCAGTCAAAGAAGACGATAGAATTGTTCCTCAGTCAAAGAAGACGATAGAATTGTTCCTCAGTCAAAGAAGACGATAGAATTGTTCCTCAGTCAAAGAAGACGATAGAATTGTTCCTCAGTCAAAGAAGACGATAGAATTGTTCCTCAGTCAAAGAAGACGATAGAATTGTTCCTCAGTCAAAGAAGACGATAGAATTGTTCCTCAGTCAAAGAAGACGATAGAATTGTTCCTCAGTCAAAGAAGACGATAGAATTGTTCCTCAGTCAAAGAAGACGATAGAATTGTTCCTCAGTCAAAGAAGACGATAGAATTGTTCCTCAGTCAAAGAAGACGATAGAATTGTTCCTCAGTCAAAGAAGACGATAGAATTGTTCCTCAGTCAAAGAAGACGATAGAATTGTATCTTCTTTTCCATCCCTGTGTTTCGGAAATCGGGTACCCGGAAATCTACTGTTATTTTTGTTTTTCTTATTTCACTTTGTCAACTTCTGTATCTGCGCAAATATTGTGTTGTATTCTTTTTCTTCTTTGTTTTTGAAATCCAGTATCTACAGAAATCTAATGTTATCTTTGTTTGTCTGTTCTGCTTTTTCTGTTTTGACTTTGTGAACTTCAGTCTCTACGGAAATATTATGTTATCTTTGGTTTGTGACGTTCAGTAATGTTGTCTTTGTCTGTCCCGTCTTTGTCACTACGGAAATATTATGTTATCTTTGGTTTGTGACGTTCAGTAATGTTGTCTTTGTCTGTCCCGTCTTTGTCACTACGGAAATATTATGTTATCTTTGGTTTGTGACGTTCAGTAATGTTGTCTTTGTCTGTCCCGTCTTTGTCACTACGGAAATATTATGTTATCTTTGGTTTGTGACGTTCAGTAATGTTGTCTTTGTCTGTCCCGTCTTTGTCACTACGGAAATATTATGTTATCTTTGGTTTGTGACGTTCAGTAATGTTGTCTTTGTCTGTCCCGTCTTTGTCACTACGGAAATATTATGTTATCTTTGGTTTGTGACGTTCAGTAATGTTGTCTTTGTTTCTGTGCACTGCCTTTGTGACGTTCAGTAATGTTGTCTTTGTCTGTCCCGTCTTTGTCACTACGGAAATATTATGTTATCTTTGGTTTGTGACGTTCAGTAATGTTGTCTTTGTTTCTGTGCACTGCCTTTGTGACGTTCAGCAATGTTGTCTTTGTCTGTCCCGTCTTTGTCACTACGGAAACATAATGTCTTTGTTCCTCTGTCCTGTCCAGTTTCCACCGGAGAGAACCAGTCGTCCCAGATCCCCCTCCACATCATCATCCTGGGGGCGGTTGGCGGAGTGATCCTGACAGCTGTGAGCGTGTCTCTGTGTGTCATGTGTCACCTCCGCCGCAAGGAGGCGCACAAACGGCGGGAAGACACCAGGCACCAGGCGTCACAGAGGAACGCCTTAGAGATGGCGGTGTGCAACAGCTCCAATACCACGATGTCTCTGTCACAGCATGATAGGACTGCTGGTGAGTGGTGGGAGGTGAGGGGGGTTCTTTGTGGTTGATAGTGTTTTTGTGGTGATTGTGGTGGCGGTGGTGGTGAAGTG